GAGGCCACAACGGGTACAGCGGATGCAGTATACCACATTAGCAGATGTGCAGGTGAACATCTGCTTGATGTGGAAAGTCTTCTTGGGGCCTGGGATGGGGGTGAGGGAGGAGGTGTAGGGGCAGGGGTAGAACTTAATGCGGTTGCCGGGAAAAGTGCCGGGTGTGGTGGGGCTGGAGGGGAGTGTGGAGCGGACAAGGGAGTCACGGAGAGAGTTGTCCCTCCGGAAAGCAGATAAGGGTGGGGAGGGAAAAATGTCTTTGGTGGTGGGGTCGGATTGCAGATGGCGGAAGTGTCGGAGGATGATGCGTTGGATCCGGAGGTTGGTGGGGTGGTACGTGAGGACGAGGGGGATTCTTTTTTGGTTGTTATTGCAGGGACGGGGTGTGAGGGATGAGTTGCGGGAAATGCGCGAGACAAGGTGGAGGGCGTTCTCGACCACTGATGGGGGGAAGTTGCGGTCCTTGAAAAACGAGGACATCTGAGATGTACGGGAGTGGAATGCCTCATCCTGGGAGCAGGTGTGGCGGAGGCGAAGGAATTGGGAATAGGGGATGGCATTTTTGCAGGAAGGTGGGTGGGAGGAGGAGTATTCTAGGTAGCTGTGGGAGTCGGTGGACTTGAAATGGATATCGGTTTCTAGGTGGTTGCCTGAGATGGAGACAGAGAGGTCCATCCCCGCCTCTTTGACCTGTCTGTTTCCTCTCCACCTATCATCTCATCTATCCATTTTCTATCCGCCTCCCCCTCTCTCCCTATTTATTTCAGAAACTGCTTCCCCTCCCCCATTTCTGAAGAAGGGTCTATTCCCAAAACGTCAGCCTTCCTGCTCCTATGATGCTGCTTGGCCTGCTGTGTTCGTCCAGCTCAACACCTTGTTGTCTCGGATTCTCCAGCATCTGCAGTTCCTACTATCTCTGATACAATCTATACTGGCTCAGGACTCTGGAAGCACATTAACAGTGTGTAACCACAAACACCTTTCCTTGAATCTACAGTCACCACTGTTAAGTGTATAAACTCTACCAAATCTAAAGCTTTATTTACACTAGAGATAGAGTTGGGAAAGTATTGGGTTCTGTCAATGATTCTCTAATTGAGGAAAGGTGTGGGGAGAGACAAGGATCCAGTTATTCCCTTCACATCAGGAAATGTGAATCACACTGTTTCTGAACACCATTGTCCAGAACTTGTCACTTCCCAACACTCTCATAATTTTTTTCTCTCTTTTGGAAATGAGTGGGCCATAGGCAGGCCCAAGGCAGCAAGGATGGTGAACAGGTAGTGTGACAGGCTGCTTATGAGCCCTGCCCCAGTTCTCTTGGACGTTGATCCATTCTGTGAATGACTGTTGGCTCTTTATTCCTCAATCCCCGCCTTATCTCACCTTGATCTCTCTTCACCCACATGACCCACTACCATTCCCCCTCTTTGTACCCAATCCTCATATCCATACGGTCAATACTGTAGGCTTTTATTCCCGGTTACCCTGGTCCCTTTGGCTTACTCTGGATATCAAATCACCCAAAGCACCTGCTTCTCTGTCTTTCTGCATCCACCCTGTCCAGACCCATTTGAATCTAATATGTTTTAATAAGGTCTCCTCTCAATCTTCTAAACACCTATGAGTACAAACTCAACCCACTCAACCTCTACTTATAAGACAGTCCCTCCATACCAAGTATAAACCTAGTGAGCCTTCTCTGGAATGCCTGCAATGCTAATATATCCCTGTTCTATCTTTCTTTAGATGAGGGAACCAAAACTGTTCTCAGTATTCCAGGTGTGTTCTGATTGGTGCCTTACATAGCCTTAGCAAGACTTCCCTACTTTTATACTCCATTCTCTTTGAAGTAGAGGCCAACATTCCATTTGGCTTCCTTATTACTTTCTGAACTTGGATACTAGCCTTTGGTGATTTATGCACAAGGACCTCCAAATACCTCTGAGCTAAAGCTTTCAATACTTTCCCTAGTTAAGTAATATCCAGCGTCTCTATACTTCCTGCCAAAGTATATAATCTCACATTTTCCTACATTGTATTCTATCTGCTATGTTTTTGCACAGTCACTTAACCTGTCTATATCCATCTGTAACGTCTGTGTTGTCCTTACTACTTACCGTCCCACTAATTTTTGTGTCATTCACAAACTTGTCTATAATAAATTCACTTCCATCATCCAAGTCGTTAATATATATTGTAAATAACTCTGGACCCAACACTGATGCTTTGGCACTCCATTACCTGCAGCTTTCCATCCTAAAAATGACCCCTATATCCCAATGGCTTGTCTTCTATTAGTGAGCTAATCCATTCTCATATAAAACACTTCGCACCATGGGCTGTTACTGAGTAGCCTTATGTGCCAAACCTTAATGAACACCTTTTGGAAATCTAAATATTTTACATCTATACTGTTTCCCCTTTATCCATCTTACTTGTTATTTCCTCAAAGAATGTCAACAAGTTTGTCAGGCATAATTTTCCCTTCATAAAACTATATTCAGTCGGATTGATTATATTATGTATTTCCAAATGCCGTATTATTACATCCTTTATAATGTACTCTAAAATTTTCCCAATGATAGATATTAAGTTAACTCGCCTGTAGTTACCTGTGTTTTGTTGTTTTCCTCTCTTTTTGAATACAGATGTTGCATTGGCGGTTTTCCAATCCTTTGGAACTCAAGTGTTCTTGGAAGATTAATACCAGTGCGTCCAGTATCTCTGTCGCTATTTCCTTTAATATCCTAGGGTGCAATCCAGCCCATCCAGGGGATTTAATAGTCTTTAGCTCTAATAATTTCACTGGTACATTTTCTCTAGCGATAATGAATGTGTTTATTTCCTCCCCTGCTTTAGCCCCTTGATTATTTAGTAATTTTGAATGTTAATAGTGTCTTCCACCGTGAAGACATCTACAATGATTTCATCCAGATCTCTGCCTTCTCATGGTTCCTGACCATTATTTCCCCAGCTTTGTTCTGTAAGGGGTCTATGAGATCTTTGGCCTCTCCCTTTTTACACATTTGAAGAAGCTCTTACTGTTCGTTTTTATGTTACTTGCTAGTTTGGCCTTAGTGTTTATTTTCACCCTCTTAATTATATTTTGGTTAAATTTTGCTGGCATTTAAATCTTTCCCAATCCTCTGTTTTCCACTAACCTTTACAACATTGTATGTTTTTCTTTCAATTTGATACCAACCTTAACTTGCTTAGTTAACTGTGGTCGGTTTATCCCTTCCCTAGAATCCTTCTTCCTCGTTGTGATATATCTTTGCTGAGACGTGAACTGTTTTGTTAAACATCGTCCATTGTCCCCCAACCTTGTTTTCTGCTAAACTCTATTCTCAGTCCACTCTATCTCTTTCTACCCTCATCCTTATGTAATTAACCTCAAGTAAGTTTAGCACAGTTGTTTTGACATTCAGAGATAGCAAGAACTGCAGATGCTGGAATCAGAGACAACACAGTGTGGAGCTAGACGAACACAGCAGGCCAGGCACCAACAGAGGAGCAGGAAAGTTGACATTTCAGGTCGGGAACCTTCTTCAGAAATGCCCATAACTTTCCTGCTCCTCTGATGCTGCTTGGCCTGCTGTGTTCCTCCAACTCCACACTGTGATGTCTGTTTCTGATGTTGTCAGCCTAACTCAATATATTAGTCGTTCCAAAAGTTCAGCATTCATAATGAGTTAATCTGACAACTGTATTAACAAAAAGGTAGAAAAATGTCAGGCATTCATTTTTCAAATGGCTTTGTTACAAATACTTGGCTACATTCTATAAATGGCTAAGGTGCTTAGCACAGCAGGCAATATTGAAAAGCAACAGAGAGCAATCAAGCTTTGTTTGATTTGACATCCTGATTACCTTACAATAAATTATTCTTCCTAGAGTGCGTTTTTTTTTAAATGTGTGCATTTATTTATACAAAATTTAAAGGTGTAAAGTGTCTGAAAGCTTCTGGCATTGACACTTTTCACAAGGTTATTTTTAAAATGTTACTTTCAAAGCCTTTGCTTATATCAATTCCAGAATCATTTCAAAGATTGCCAAACTAACCATTAACCAATTAGCTCTGTTCATAGTAGAGAATGAAAAATGCATGGTGGGTATGTATTGGAGAGGAGAGAAATTGTGGATGAAAGAGGGCATGATGGGGTTATCAGAAATTATTAGGTGGGGCATGGAGGCTATGAGAGGAATTAGCAACAACTTTTATACTTACCTGTGAAAAGGTTCCTGACTCGTCAACCAGATTCCCACCATGTTCACAAACTTGCTTAACAAGCAGGATGCCCACAAGCTTCATGGACCACCCACTTGCACAAAAATATAAGTGCCAAGGAAATTTGCATTTCCAGCAGTCATTTATATTCTAAACCTAATGTCGCTTCAAGTGAGCATCAAGTGGTGACTAGCCACAATTCCCAATGCAACGAAAATGACAGGTGGAAGGATTTGTCAGGAAATTCACATTTGCCCTCTCAGCTTAGGTTTGTTCTAAGTTGGACAAAAATTCAGCTCAGGAATTACTTTCTGGAAGGTAAAACTGTACTTTCAGAAATGCAGCTTTACGGATAAAAGGAGTGTGTGCAATATTCTGTCTCTAAAAGTTCTGTTCATTAGGTCACCTCCCGAAGTTATGATCGGAGTAATTATTTTATGAGTTAACTGTAGCAGCATTATCTTAGAAGGACATTTTTATGAGCACCTTAAAATTTCTGCACTAGATGTAGAAAAATTGATTTTCAGCTAATTTCAACATGGAGCAATTACTAACAACAGTAACCATTATACTGAAGACAGATCCATTCTGTTACCTTATGGGCCGCATTGTATGTCAGGTCCCAGGAATTTTGACACTTTGGTGACCATACCCAGCTTGCCTGCAGGCATTTTTCATGACTTCACAGTTTGCAATTTGTTTTCCTCTATTCAAATGAAGCATTTTCATTACAAATATGTCACTCTATATTTTGTATTCTGGGTTACAGGTACGAGGCAGAGGGCTGACAGGAAATCTACAATTTGACAACTACGGACGTAGATCAAACTATACCATCGATGTTTATGAACTAAGACCTTCTGGACCTCGCAAGGTAGGTTGAAATAAAGCAGGACTGTTTTTGGTTGGCTAATTTTCTCTCGGTGAAGAGCTCTGGGATATTCTGGCAAGTACCTTGCCAAAATGACCATTTCTCACCCATCTATTCAGCAGCACTCAGAATCCCATGCAATTTCTTCAATTCTGCAATTACTGCATTTTTATGCCAAAAGCTCTTTAAGAAAAAGATTCAAAAAAATTGTAATTTCCTTCGCTCTGAATATATTTTCTGTGGGCGGGCATATGTATCTGATTTTCTGTGGTTGGAATTTGTTTTCCGTGGCATTAAATGAATCATCATTTCACACACTCTGCCCCTGTGGACTTATGCTGCACAATGGGAAGTAGAACTCTTGTTCGGTGACTGACTCAGATTATTTTCTGTGATAGAGTAATAAAGAGCTATCAGCCAACAATGATGTGTCTAATGTTTATAACTTGATCATTTGTCTGCAGAGAAGTTGGTTTGTGCTGCAAAGTGTATAGCGTGCCTAAGGCAAATAAAAACTGAAAGAACAGCGGATGCTGTAAATCAAAACCAAAATCAGAAATTGCTGGAAAAGCTCAGCAGATGCGGCAGCATCTGTGGAGAGAAATCAGAGTTAACATTTTGGTTCGAGTGACCCTTCCTCAGAACTTACATCTGCCTAAGGCAGATGCCTGAAACGTGCCTCATTAATATATCTGGAGATATGCAACTGGTCACTTAATTGACACAATTCTGGGTATCTGATTCAGCTCCCCAGGTGGGACCCTGTTACAATCAGCTGCCCTGAATGCCATGAGGGCTCCCAGATATATCCTCGAGTGTATGGTCAGGGTCTAGGGAGTCGAGCAGTGTAGACAGAAGCCTACAGTATTGCTATGAGACCAGGAGGAATTCTTGAGGGAGAGGACAGTTGTGGGGTGAAGATGGTTATTTGATCTCCCATCATGAATTTTGAGACCAATAAACAAATGCAGAAATGACCAGTTTTGTTTGTTTATGTACCTCCGTGTATTTCGACACAGCATTGATTTTTCTCTTTCAGAATGTATTGCTCATCATGACTTCCTCCTTGTAACTTTGCTGCCAAGACTCTCAGCATTGCTTTGTTTCTGTGTTCCTGCTGCTCAGCTTTCCCACACTTATTCCTTTAGGCTTGTCACCAGTAGGTCCAACTCCCCTACTGCCTCCTTTCTTAACATGTCTCCAAGGCTCGAGAAGTCATCATTGTGAACGGCAGTACATAAGAACATTACAGAACTTGGATAGCCTATCACAGCTAGTGAAACGGCCCCACATGAGGCTCATTGATATGTTTTTGCAACATTTCCCGCTTGTTTACTAATTAAATTACACTCAATTCCTAATCCAAGACCTTGGTTCCTATGACTACATTGATAATAGCTTTAATGGAATTAAATGACCTCTTAAACAAAGCGTGCTTCACAGCCTTTTGCCTTAGTCTTCTGATATTGACAGAAAAGAGTGATCACGCTGTACGCCATCAAACTATACCTCCACAAGAGTCAATGCAATGAGATAAAAAGAAGTTTTTGTTATGAGGGAGGTTTTGGTTTATTGTCATAACTATTTAATCATTGCCATAATATATTCTATTGGAAATGTACACAAAAACACATTAAACAAAAATCAACATCCGTGTAGCATTTCCAAAAACGATATAGGAAGCCAGCAGGTGATTAGTTAAATTGGTTCATGCTTTTGCTCAAACAATGAGTAGAGAAATTTCAAAGGGAACATTAAACATTTCTCCAGTAATTTACTGTCGGAGTAGTTTCAAATCTCAAATTTTACTAATGAATTTGACCTTGTTATTGCTTTTTCTGTCTATTTATGTGGGTTTTTGAAAAAAAAATTTGTTTTTAAGCACTGAGAGTTGATGAGTCATTTGGGGGAGTTCCAGGGTGAGGAGGCTGAAATAATATGACTGCTTAAACATCCTGGGTTAATGACTAATTTGCTCGTGTCAGTTTAAATCTTTTGTACTGTCAAGCTCCCAGTTCCTCCCAAGATAATGTACTCATTTCTAACTATTCAAACCAACCACTAACAACTAAGGATGCCCAGACTCAGCACATTTCTTTCAACTATTTGCATTTTGATTCTAGTTTTAAATTATAGAGCTACAGCTGGAGATCAGCACTCGCTGCTTACCACAAAGTCCTGCTAACAGTAAAACTGAGTTGGAGCCTTCATTGTCGTATTCAGCTATTGGCTGTGCCAATGGTGAGAATAAAGTTTCAGCCTAGCAGCCATGCAGCGTTTGGACTGTCGCTCCATGCAGAGCTTCCACAAAGTTAACCCAAAACTGAAAGCAGTTCTGAAGAAAGGTCACTGAACCTGAAACATTAATTCTGATTTCTCTCCACAGATGCTGAGGTTTTCCAGCAAATTCTGTTCTTGTGCCTTTCGGTTTTTAGCCCAAAATTCTATTTGTGCTAACAGTCCGAATGTAAAATAAAATTAATGTAAATATGTTATGAATTTAGGACACTATCCCTTGACACTAAGGGTCAAATTTTCCTATTGGAATGCAGGTTCGAACCTAGTGAGGTAAACCCACCCCTGATACCATCGTGCTATAACAGCCAATTTTCAACGTGCTCAGTTTCAACTGACCTTGAAGTTGAGTCTGCCACTAAACTAGTGGGAGGGCAGGGTACAAGCCAGGTTGGGGTGGTGGGGGGGGGGGGGAGTTGAGTGGAGTGCAGCATGAAAATGGGGATGGAACACCAGGGAACCCACCCATGATTGTATTGTGGCTCTGGTTTCCATCTCTAAATGGACTTTAAAATGTTGAAAGGACCTTCATCTTCAAAGCAACGAGGGCAAATAAAGAGCTGGAATCCAGGAGAGTGTAGGGGACAATTGGTGACTAATATTTCTTACCCCTCACAGCTTCTTTGGCTAAATTTTCATTTTGTTTGTGTTAAATGCTGATAGTCACTTTCTGAGATCTCCTAACAGCTGCTCATCTCCTTGAAAATCTCATGAAGTCTCAGTGGTCTCAGGCTGCCTAGCTAATGAGTTGGACATCTTCACTTTCTCACACCCTTCCTACTGCCCCCTGAACTTGATAAAATCATCAGAGTTCAGAATGGATGTGGCAGACTGGCATATGCACCATTGGTACCATTTTTTTACCATTCTGCCTCCATTCAGGAGGAGACATTTATTGGTCATGAAACGGTCAATTATCAGTATCCAGTACCAGATAGTACATTCTGCTGTGGCACTGGTTTTAAAATTTGAATTAATGTTCTCTCTTTTCTTGCTTCAATCAAATTACTGGATCATTTTATCTTTTCAAATGCAAAATTTTACTTAATTGTCAAAATAATTCTTAATTTTATGGTTCTACTTGACATAGCTAAATTGCTAAGGTGCTTGTCCTGAGCTTTCATTTAACACAGAATCGATCAAAAAGAAATAAACTGAGCTTAGTCAAAATGATTACTAAAGAAACTTGAGCGTTTCAAAGAATCATTAACTGTCACTCATAGGTCTAACCTACACGGCAACACCCAAAACACAAGTACCAATCAAAACCTTTGGAGAGTTTCTTTGCAAACCTAATTAAGATTTCATTACAGAAGGATATTGCTATAGAGTGAGAACGTTCAATGCATCTTTTTTTTAAACACATAAAACTCTTTTTCAGATCGGGCATTCACTGGAGAAACACTGTTGGATTAGTTAGTGAATGTCTCCATTGAATTAAAAGGGGCTTGTATTCTTTTCATTGCTCTATACTGACCCAAATACGTCATCATTGTGGAGCCTATCATTTACAAAGTGCACTGCAGTAAACAACAAGCCACTGTGCAAATGTCATCCAAATAAAAAGATTCTAAAGTAGTCCAAATACCTATTTTTTTAAAACTAAAAAATTGGCAGAAGTCGATGAACAAGACAAAATTCCTCTCTGCAATGTGCTGCCAGTTGTTTTTAACACCTAGTGTGGTATTGAGCCGTGTGTACTACAAAGGCCTCAAATGTGATCTCTTGTTCTTGTTGAATTACTTTATCTCCCATTGGATATTGTTAGAAGTGATATGTTGTTGTTGTGTTGCCATAGTCTTACCCCACCCAATGCCCCAGAGTTTGGGTAAGGAAAAAAGTCTACCAAGGTTCCTGATATTGATGACTATACACTTTTCTATGCTCCTTGGTACATAGTGAGAAGCACACGTGGTGCAAGCTCTAGATTTCATTTGTTTGGTGTTTGATTTTGTTAACTATTTACTGTGTGCTATTAGTCAAAGCAGGTGTGCTTGGGGAAACAGAACAAAACTGCAGCAACAGGCTGTAAGCATAAGAACAAACATTTTAAAGCTCTGTAAGTAAAAGCTCTAGCAAACTTGTGTGTGCCACCTCTGCATATCGACTGCTTCAGTCACTGTCATTTTAGTCAAGTTGTTAATAAAATTTGTTTTCCTAGAAACTATGAACATTGGACCGTAGTTTATTTCCAGTGAGTTTGTAGATTCCCAGCAGCAGTGGAATTCACCACTTTCCAACATTGTGATATAAGCCACAATTGAACGGTGCACTGAAATAGGAGTGTGATTAAAGACTGTCTGAGAGCCAGTATGACAGAAGAGAAAACATTCGATTAACCTGTTCAAATCCACTCAGCACATCAGATCCACCTCACACTCCATAACTGGCAAGACACCTGTTGAACATATGGTAGGTTGTAAGTCTCATATGCTACTGACCACTATTAAGCTCTCACCACTGTGCAATGAGAATTTCTGAGTGAAAGCAGACAAATTGCAAAGAACCAAAGTAAAGCAAAATTGTACTTTGACCAAAAAAAAAATGCAGGGGAGAACAATTTGAAGTTGGAGATTGGATTTACATCAAAAAGCAAAACCACAATCACAAACTTTCATCATCTCTATCAAGACCAAAACAACTCATGAGGTTTCTCAGTAGCAGCACTTATCTGTTGGCTGACAAGTTTCTGAAAACACAGAAACTAC